ATTTGGGTCTCAGACCCTTCCAGTCTACTTGGGAAAAAGTTGGCACAGCAGCCCTACTAAGACGTAGTCAGGCCGTATCATGTATCCTACCTCTAGAGGATCCCGAAATCCTTTTCTACTACCCTTTCTTAAGGATTACTATTTATCGTCACTATCATGATATAGCCTGTAAGCCCGTTGTTGTCTCTAGAGAAGAAAAAAAGTAGTGTTTTATGCTTGAAATTTCAAGTAAAAGGTAGAACAACTTAGGGGTATTCTGGTGGTGACTACTTCGATGTACCACTTATTTTTCTTTCTCACAGGCTCGCCTTTAGCGAAGGTGTTTGCTCAGTTTCAGTATTATATGAAACTGAGCGGATAGGCCTGAGAAATGAGACAAAGAGAACGGATACTTGAACGGATACTTACATATTTATCGCACCGCTTCCCCTGGGGCGTCACCAGCAAGGAGAGGCTGGCGCTTCCCTAAAACTTGTGTCGTTCCTACTGGGCTGCAGAGTCCGATCGTTAGTCTTAGAGACCAGCCTTGACATCTGGATAGTCATGTCGGGTATGAGAGATTGCTGGCACTGTTCTTGCCGTGATACCACTGCTGCTTCCAGCGCTCGATCTATACAGAGGCACGCTCAGTTGCCGGAGCGTCTTCTTCTGCCGGAGGAAACATGTGGAGAGGCTCATCAATGCCTTGCGCCTTCAGGAAGTATTGCTCGCACAGAACGTCCGAAAAGTGCTCACCGAGGCCGGCATCCCGCTCAACCGGATACCTGAAGACCGACAACAGTTACTCAGGTTCCTTCATGATGATGACGAACCCAAGCAAAAAGTGGAGGCGTATCTGGGCCCTACGGAAAACGAGTTATACACGAAAGCCATCGAAATCTGCGAGGAAGCTGTGCGCAATATTGCGGCTAATGTTGAGGGCTTCTTGCCTGCAGCACAACTGGTGAGCCTCTTTAACGGCCCATGATGATAAACAAACGGCTGACATGCACTACAGACGCAGCCAGGGAGTCTGAATGCGTCCATGCAAGCCCATAGGCAGTTCGTCGACCAAGGCATAGCCCTGAAGGCGCGGTTCAAATTCATTCTAGGCTGCTCAGACACTGATAAGAGCATCCAAGAACTCACCCAGTCCACCTGGATCCTCGAGAGATTGACTACTGGAGTAGCAGCAAAGCGAGATGCCACCGAATGCGCAGCCTCGCGCACTGTCAGCAAATGGGTGGCAGCAGTGGCAAACACCAGAGAAAATGCTGCAACACTGTACTCGGCCATCGCCAACGGGTGGATTTGTAAATTCCACAATCCCATGAAGTCAAGTTGAGACTCGACCGAAGCACACTGGTTCTCAATCGTACCGCCGAGACACCAAACCAATTGAAGACCAAGGGCCTGGTGTTTGAGGTTGTTTTCCGGTGCGACCAACCCCAGAACGATATACTCTGGCACGAGAGTAAAGTCGAAATGCTCGAAAATGCTCAGATCAACGAATCAGGAAACAAGTTGACACAGCCAGCAACAGAGGCTAACCCGCGTCCAAATGTTACAGTCTTACTCCCACCAACGGCCGAGGCCCTTCCGGTCACGTTATGCCTATGTACCTCCTTGCACAGCGCAGTCACCACCAACAAGGCGCTGTATCTGTACATTGCTTCTGGGACCGATATCTATTGCGATCACCGTGAATGCCCAAGTCCCTCTACCACTGGGAAGTTCGACGTGCCTTCGCTGCGAGATTTTCTCTCGGTTCAAGGGGTTTCTTCTAGGAGGATCCCGTTCAAGGACCGAATGCATTTGGCCAGGACGCTTGCCATTTCCCTACTGCAGCTGCACGACACGCCGTGGCTCCACGAGAGCTGGTCAAAGGAAGGAATCCAGTTCATGAAGACACCAGGTGCAAAGGGAGAAGGCGTGTCAGCGGTGGACGTTGATTTCACCAAACCACCGATCTCCCGCGAGTTCTTTTCCCCTTCGCACGGTTCAGCGAAACACCTGCAGCCTAAGGAGGCCCTCCTCGAGCTTGGGATCATGCTTCTCGAACTCTGGCACGAGAAGGCCATCGAGGACCAATTCCCTGGGAGCACCATTCCAGCTGACTATTGGGGCAAACTTCGATTGGCGTCAATCTGGCTTGAAGACGAGACAAACTCTTTGCTTCCAAATTATCGACTTGCCGTGGCACAGTGCGTCAAGTGCTTCTTCGGCGGCAGGTTCAGTACCCCTAGCTGGGATGACTTGGAGTTTCGAAAGGCATTAGTTAGAGATATGATTGAGCCGTTGCATAAAATTTGTGAGATTTGGAAATGACAGCAGTGGTTTGCGTGTATATACCACCTTTGTTGACTTACATCATCTATCGTTATCATCATCGTATGTGCCAAATGGTCGTCAGCACTGCACCTTCGTATTGTGCTTTCATCCTGAGTGAGGTGAGTGCGGCGACGAGTGCAGAAGGTTCAAGGCGAGCGCGTTCAGGGGCAAAGCAGCAAGTCACGTCTCGTAGCAGCACGTGAACTGCGGGCAAATGGGATATTTTATCCTGCGCCCGTAACAAAGGCAACTAGGCACCCAGATTCGCCTCTTCTTCGTTCGTTGAACTGGCCACCCTGTCTCTTTGAGATGCCCTCTTTTACCTGCGAGAATGCAATAAGCCTATACGCGATAGAAATGAGCTTGCTCTTCTTCAGTCTCTGGTGTCTTACATCTGTCCATGGTTTGTCGAGGGCAATAACTTGAAGCCGAAGCGCTACCAGACAAAATATGGCAACCGTAACAAGGATCAAACTACTTCTCCTCTTAACCTTTCTCCTAGCAGGCACAGCTCTCTCAGCTCGCAAGACAAACCCTAAGAAGGTCCCCAAAAATGCTGTCTTACTTTCCAAGGTTTCTGCCATTACCGTCCGCGCCGGCAAACAAACCACCTCCCGTCGAGTCTCTCCCGTGCCTCAGCTACAATGCGTGGGAAACCCCAGAATATGCAAGCTATACTCGGTTGATGTCATGAGGTGCACCAACGAGGGTTCTGACTATGATGAAAACAACGTGCAGTGGAGCTGCAAAGCTTCCCTTCCCGAGGAATTCAAGCTGGGCAGCACAGAAGTGACGTGCGAGGGCTACGAGAGCAGCGAAGATCCATATGTTCTTTCGGGAAGTTGCGGTGTCGAGTACGCACTTCTATTGACCGAGAAGGGAGAGGAAAAGTATGGTTCTGGCAGCTTCTTTGACTTTCGTGGCGCACAGCGCAGTGAGAATACGACAGAGAAATACGCTGGCTACTTGTTCATGGGATTGTTCGGGGTGGTTCTGTTCATCATCTTGCGCGGTCTCTACAATGCCTGGCGTAGAGATACACCCAGAAGGAGACCACGAGGAGGCGGAGGGTTTGGGGGAGGTGGAGGCGACAATGATCCTCCACCTCCGTACGACCCCCGGCCACCTCCCCGACCCAAAAAGGCCACTTGGTCATCGGGCTCAAGTTCAAGCGCAGGAACTACCGGGCCCGGATATCAGGAACAAGGCTGGCGCCCGGGATTTTGGACAGGTACGGCTGCTGGAGCTGCCGCAGGGTATTTGGCTGGGAGGGGTGCGCGGACACAACCTGCGCCACAAGCCCCGGCGACTGGGGGATGGTTTGGGGGTGGAGGAGGCGGTGGCTTCGGTGCATCGACCAGACCAGGGCCGTCTTCAAGGAATGCAAGTTCACCGAGCACGAGCTATTCGAGCACGAGACACGAAAGCACTGGGTTTGGAGGGACAAGCCGCCGATAAGAGATCCAAGGTTGAGGGAGACTTGACATACCCAAGGACGTCTGGTTGGGGCTTGTGGCTTCTGCATCTCACATAAAACAACTTGGGTCCGCTGCATACCTGTCACTCCTTTGATATTCTGGATTTAGTCTCCTGGAATTCGGGGGATTCGAGGTGGGAATAGTATTGCTGACGCGTCTCGAACACGTGGGCACGTGATGGTCCAGCGGTTTGTCACGTTGGACAACTTCACCTCAGCATGCGCCATATTATATCCGGTGGCTGATCCTAATCGTAACTCATCTTGAAGCCTCGCATTTCCTCTGTATGGCTTTCGCACTGGCTTGCACAGGTAACGTGAACCTCCGTGCTTGTTGATGGATCTTGTTGGTATAGACAAAGGCTGAAGAGCAGCCACCCGACAATCACGGCATCTCGCAGCCTTGCCCACATCCCACCCGCCTCGCACCCTCTTGGATATTGCATCAGACGTGGCTACCAGTACAACTTTCCAGGACATACATTCTCAGGCTTTGATTTTCATCTGACTATAGTCCTGATGTGAGCCTACCAGTGTTCCCCAGTTCAATCGTGAGAGACCAGGACCTGGGAGGGCTGTTTTGCCCCAACATCGAAACCGCCGTAGCCATCCTCTATCAGCATTAAATGTCAATAATGCCCCAATCCTGCCAAGCCAGTGCGCAAATGTCAGCTTGACCTCTTTATGTTGGATACCTGCGCCAAAGGCATCGCGGTCAAAATCACCACTAAACCCATCTATTGGTCTGGCAGACCCTTTGTCATTGCGTCTTCGCGACAACATCTCCTGATTGTAAAACAACGGGAATCTACTTCATCTTTGTTGGTATACAATCGCCTACGCCACTGGTCTTCCTGAACAACTTTCTTTGTCGACATTCAACATACAATATTTCAAGGATCATTTGAGGCCGCACTCTACCGGAGACCGACTTAGTTAAGATCATACCCAGACACTAAACCGGTTGCTTCACTTCACGCTGACGTTCACCTCACCCTAATCACCAAACTTTTTGGAGGTAGTCTTGTCATTCACTTCCAATAGGGCATGTTCTGAGTCTCTTCGACATAGCCAGGCTCACCCACCGGACTCTCTAGGCTCATCACATCTTGGATCACGCACGTCAATCGTTGTACCTGCTCAAATTGAGAAGAAGTCATTCCGCGACCGCCTACGACAGTACACCTGCGCCTCCGTGAGACGAATCACGAGAATGGCACCTCAAATCATCGACCTTCTCTCTGATGACGATGAGGATTTCGATCCATCTTCCCGGCCAACTGCAAAGAGACGCGTTAGACATCCTAGGCCGAGCCACAGTAACGAACCTAGCAGAGGCACCAGACAAGATTTCACGTCTAAAAACCCACAAATCCCGCGCGAGACGATTGATCTGAGTACCCTGCCTCGAAACACGGTAGAGAATGAGTATCTCGTTCGTATCAATGCATCAAGAAGTTCCACTGTCAGTAGCCACACCGAACGTGGCAGTCCCACCGAGCCATTGCATTCTATCGCACGAAGAGACAACGGGAAGGGAAAACAACGCCAGATCGAGATTCCAGAGATCGACTTGTCTCAAGACGGCGACGATCTTGGTGAAAAGAACCTCTCCAGCCATGATGAGGAGGATGCGTCTCTTGGCTATGATAATGGCGATCTTAGTGAGGATGAGGCGCTGCGGCAGGCGATTGCCTTGTCGCTTCAGGAACGGACACCTCGTCGCCACGCAAACAATGAAGCTGGCGCAAGCGCAAACTTATCTTCAACCACGGTGAGTAAGGCACAAGGGAAACAGAGGTCAAACGCCCGGCCTCTCAAAGAGACTGCTCCTGCACGACCTGCAGATGAAGTCGTGGTAGATGCAGCACCGGACAATGGAGTCATTTCTCTTTCACCCACGCCTCCATCCTCGCATGCGATGACAAAAGTGCCTCTACCTTCACCGGGATCGACACCGGCACCACCACCAGCCTCTGCGGACCAGTCCCTTCCCAATGTAGCCCAGGATGGACCTGAATTGTCTCTAGACAAGAGAGCTCCAGACCTCCAGGTATCAAACCAAGACCCCAGTGCCAGCCACGGCATGTTCAGCCTGGCGAGCCTCGACCGCCGACAAATGGAGGCTGAGCGCCTGGCACGTCGGAAGCGCAAGCTCGAAGACGAAGGATCGCACGATGCTGGGTCCCAAGAAAGCGAGGGCCGCAATGCCAAAGCACTCAAGCTCAGCCAACCTGTGTCGGTGATGGCAACGGACCCTAGAGTTCCAATTGGGACTGGAATTGCAAAGACGCAGCCAACACAGTCAAATGAGCAGCACCCAGGCCACGGCGTACGAAAGGACAGCAACGGCTCGAGACACCACATACAATTGCCAGAGAGAAACATTCGAGAAACAGCACAAGCAGCGAGTAGCTTCCAGACTGAACAGCAGACAGGAGCTGCCAAACCAGCGTCACAAAGTTCGAAAGCTAGAATTCCAGACAACAAGAATGGCAAGGGCAATAATAGCCATGTTGTAGCAGCTCCAACTGACACTGCAGCACCGAATCCAATACGCACCAATCCTCCATGCATTCAGATTGATGATGATGATAATGACGGCGAAGGCTACAGCAATAACACCATTGGTACCAGTATCAACAACAGCACCGCGAACCTCTACCCCCACGGCATCGCCCTCAAGACATACGTTACAGGCTACCCGTCCGACAGAACCATCACGTTTGAGCGAGTTGTGTCCCCCTCGTCGCAGCTGGAGTCGTGCCTCCTGTCCTCCTTCATTTGGGACTTTGACTGGCTGCTGCCGCACTTTGAGACACGACGCACAAAATTTCAGCTGGTCATGCACGCCAAAGACGCGCAGAGGCGGCAGGCGGTGGAGAGAGATTTTCAGGGGGTGCCGAACGTGAGGTTGACGTTCCCGCGCGTGGGTGGCAATATCAGCTGTATGCACAGCAAGCTGATGCTCTTGTTTTACAAGGACGAGAGAGGGGAGATGAAGACGGGCGCGGGTGCAGTTGCAGCCGCAGAAGCATCGATGATGGGCCAAAATGAGTTGTTTGGTGGTGGTGGTGGTGGTGGTGGTGGTTGGCAGCAGGGCAGCCGGAGATGTCGCATCGTGGTTCCTACGGCTAACCTCGTCGACTTTGACTGGGGCGTCGGCGGCTTCATGGAGAACACAGTATGGCTGATCGACTTACCTGTCAAACAAGCCTCTGACGCAACGACCTCGTCATCCTCACATGGTGCGACATCAACCGCAACGCCACCCGTAGGAGACAGCTACCAGACCTTGTTTGAAAAGTCCCTCAAGGAGTTTCTGAGAGCGCAGACCGTGCCCGACGACGTGCTGCACAAGCTGGACTTGTTCGACTTCCGCAAGACCGAACGCTACGGCTTCATCCACTCGATTGGCGGCACCCATGTCGGGCAAGCATGGCAGACCACCGGGGTCTGCGGGCTCGGTCGAACCATCACGGATCTTGGACTGGCCGCGGGCGCTGATGGTGGTGGTGCTGGTCGCAGCGGACCCGTTCAGATGGACTACGTGTCTTCATCAATCGGCAATCTAAACGACGAGTTCTTGCAGTCCATGTACCTCGCCGCCTCAGGCGACAATGGCCTGAAGGCGGTGGATCGAAGGGGCCCGCTTAAACAACAGGGAAGCTGGAAGAAAAACCTTCGCTTCTACTACCCGAGCGACAACACGGTCCGGACGTCGAAAGGAGGCCCCGACAACGCGGGAACAGTCTGCTTCTCGTCGGCATGGTGGAACAGTCCCAAATTCCCCCGATCAAACATGTACGAATGTGTCAGTGTTCGCGAGGGTCTCCTCATGCACAACAAGGTACGTTTTATCCCCTAGACGTGATGTGATGATCTGCATCGTTTTAATGATATCCATGTTATATCATCGTTGCCAACAACAACACTTTCCCAAAGAAATCAAATCTTGGGAAAAAAAAGGACATCGATTCCACCGTCCACCCCTCCTCTCCCCCCACTTTATGACAAAAACCCCCGCTAACCTTTTAACCATGCCGACTTTTGTAGCTACTGTTTGTCAGATACGCTTCACCGGCCGAAAAGTCTCGTCAGTCAGGGAAAAACATCGGCTGGGTTTATGTGGGTAGTGCGAATCTCTCTGAAAGTGCTTGGTAAGTACAGTGGGTGGCCCCAGTTTGTTGTTTCTTGTCTACCTTGCTTGCTTGGCCTGGTGGCCCCCTCCATCTACACTCCGTCTCGTATACTCCGTTCTTTCCGATCTGTGAAATCTGGGTACTGCTACTACGACTACTTGGTCTTTGAGAGGTTCCGTTAGGTACCTAACAGACAAGGATGAGAGAAAAAGAGAGAGAGAAAAGAGATGACAAGGGAAGGGGTCCGATTGCTCGAGGTCGGCTATTAGTGGACATCGGCGATCCTTTGGAACTTTTCCCCCTTTCCCTTTCGCAGGCTGACATGCATCCTCTTTTGTTTTGACAGGGGTCGACTTGTTCAGGACCGGTCCACCAAGACGCCTAGACTCAATTGTAGGAACTGGGAATGCGGCGTCATTATTCCAGTACCTGCAACAACCAGACGTGGCTCAAGTGTCTTCTCCGTCGTCGACAAAGACACTGCGGGGCTCGCGGCGTTCAATCACACTGTTCCCGTGCCCGTGAGACTTCCCAGCGAATGTCTCGAGAAAAAGAAACCGTGGACAGAATGAGGCATAGGGATTTTTGGCTCCCAAGAAGATGAGACCGTGCCACAAACGCAGAGGGAGGGGGAGCCACATGGGATGTGTGAACAGCAAAGTCTAAGAGCTTATTTCCAGGGTGACTACTACTGATTAGGAATTTGGATCGGATTTCGAGCCTCAATGGATGCTGGATTGAGTTACTGTTGATTTCGAGCCCCTCAAAGTTTTCGAACGGGAGGACCATGTGAGAAGAGCTGCATGTGGAATAATATGCGCTCACGTATTGACGGCACGATTTTCGCATGCATGCCTGTATCGCACTGGGGTCAAATGCTCGGAAAGTCCGCATTCGGTGGGTCGGAAAATTGTGCTCGGGATCCGCACCTCCAATTCTGGATGGGAGGATGAGGACGAGAAGGAGAGTGCGACAAGGCAGGAAGCGCGAGACGGGTCGCAAAATTGCTGGCACAAAGCAGATGCGAGGGGAAGGGGGAGTTTAGCAGGAGGGCATGAACTTGGCATATGCTAGTCACAAGTCGAGTGACCAAAATTGTGGACCGTAACTTGCTCCCTGCGGTTTGGGATTTGTCCTAATTCCAGATCTCGCCACCGTCTCTTTTCGTGGGATGTACTCCGTAGAGCTGCTCTCTGTGTTGATGTTGCTGCCCAGATCGTGTTTGTTCTGTGATGTGGGCGCACCGCCATACCCCAGGTTCCAGTAAACACAGATACAGAGATATAGTTAGGGGCCGAGATTCACCAGTAACTTTGTCGATGGCTCTGATGAGTTCGCATGTGAACCTTCCATCTGCTCTTCAAGGTTTCGGTAGAACTTGACCTTGCCTTCTACAGTAGTGGCCTGGCCTCTCCTCAATGGATTGTTGGTATCAGCAGGTAATCTGGAGCCGATGAGGAGGGTCGTCCGGCTGCAGCGGGCCGGTATGCCTTGGTGTTGACAGAGTTTTTTCTTTGTCACTTGGGTCTTTGTGTGTGCCAGAGTTTGAGTCAGAGTACTTGAGCGAATTTCTCCACAGGCCCAATTCGGACCAGAAGTCTTTGAAAACGGGTGTATCTCATGGACCTTGAATTGGGAGGGGGAACTCGCTACGACGGATCGCAGCGATGTGAGAGGTCGAAGGAAGGGTTCGATGGAGAGGGGGAATCGACTCAGTTGGCGTCGAGGCTGCTATTCCTTGCAGGGAGAGACTGTGGTGCCTGAAAGGCGAAGGTAACTGGTCAGTTCCAATGCATATCCGCACATGTCCGGAACTCACATGCATTGACTTTGCTGCGGGGTGTGCGCGAAAAGACGCCAGCGGACGGAAGTTGTAAGGAGTAGCAAGGAGCGGGAGAGCCATCTCATTTGCCAGTGCGAGACAACCGGCGACGGGTCTAAGAACCGCTAGGAACATGGCTCGTTTCCACCTCGCAGTGCCTGGTTGGGCTGATGATTAGCTGATTGACCGAGGATGCTGTTCACCCGAAAATGGCCCCAGCTGGAGAAAGGGATGGATGAGCGGTCAGCAGAAGACAATGGGAAGGACGAATCAGGGCTGGGAAATGATAGACGAACGCCATCCGAAGTGCTAAGTGCCAAAACACGAATCATGAGTTGATCGTGCAGGAAGGAAGGAGTAGTCTCTAGCTTTCGACTGTAGGTAACAGACAGAATGGGAGCGGGAGCGACAGAGTTGTCCAAATTCGTCGAAGCCGTGGGCTTGTTCTAGATTGCAAATGTGCGAATCACCTGATAACAAATTGAGAGCGCAGTTCGGTACATGGATGTGTCTCTTGGTCATTGCTTGGTGAAGTTGGGGCCATTTTTCAATTATCGACCAAGGATACCGACTTGTTCCGGGGAGGCAGCCTGTCGTCAGCACATAATTTATTGCCCGGCGTGTTCCATCTTCACCATTCCAGGACGAGTAATTGCAGGCCTTGGTCCCTGAAAAGGGCAGTGACAGACAAGAGGCGCAACCCCCATTTGCATGCGAAGTGGCTTGTGGGCACCGAGCGCCAGAGCCAGTGACGTGTAGGGCCCTAGTCGCATTACAAGTATTGGTACTACAGAGTAGATCTGTACAATAACTAGTACTACTCGTATGCACATCGCAAGTACCTCGTAGTATTAAGTAGTATTCGCTTTGTCTCCACGGCCCCCCCCCCCCCCCGGCGCAATTCTGGCGTGGGGACCCTTACAGATGAGGCGATGTTGGTGTCACCTCTCATGCTTCCCCGCCAGCTTTTGGTTTTCGCTTCTCCATCTATCGCTATTGTCATTTGGTACCATACCCTTGGGATCCAACGAAATCCTTGGTATGCATTTCTATTGCCACTGCACCCACAAAGAACCATCGATCGTGCAACCTCGTGTTCGCTTCCAAGCCCTCTAATAGAAACAAAGTCGGATCCCACTCCGCAAGGCTTGCGATTTGCGTGGTGGTTTGTAGTGAGTGACATTAGCCACATGCCCGGAAAGCGGAGCTTGAGCAATCGCCCCGATTCATATAGACCTGGTCAAAGCTGCAGACATTGACACAATTACCTACTTGGGATAAGATCATCCTCTCACCGTTACCAAAGCGGTCGCTTGTCAAACAAATGGCAGGTGTTTCTGGCAAGCCACCAAGCTTCAGTGACCACTAGATCAATGTCAATCGGTATCCCAGCTCGTCCTGCATGTTCCAAAGGTTTGCGATGGACCTGGGGAAAGAGCTAGTTATTTTCTGTCAGCCACCAAGACTCCTAGCTGATCCCGTCTCGGGCTGCCTGATACCAGGTCATGGCTACATTTGGAATGAGAAAAGCAGCCGTGTTTTTTCCCCACTAGTGTATTGACCTCATCATGACTTGCTCCATCTCATCCTCTCTCTCTCTGAAGGCGGACGTGGGGAGGGGTAGATGTAGCCCTGGAAGGAGTGAGGGTTTCAGCGGTGGGCCAGCTTCGGAAGCCAGTGCAGACGGTCGTCTCGATTAAGTCGGGCCAGGAGATTGTGGTTGGCTCATTCCAACAAGGAATATTGGTACCGGGGTTCTGGCCCAGACTGACGGCACAGAATACCTCGTTTGTGCGAGGTACATGGGTGCTTTCATGGGTGCTGGCAGAGAGAAGGGTGGGGTTGACTGCAATGCAACAGCCCATGCCGACACAGCGCAATGGTCTTGGTGGCAACTTTGGAGCCGCCGAGACGCCCCAGCAGACCTCTTTTTGGTCCCTTCGTGTGTGCCGCAACCACTTGACTGGACCATGGTTGGAATGACGGGGGGTAGGTCAAGGTCAGAGGATCCGCTGTTTCCGGTTTTTCGGAGCTTCGGGGCGCCGTCCCGGGCAACTCAGAACAAACGAGTAAAGTCTCGTAGTGGCATGAACACACACTATTATTTTGAACACTACTATTGAGAAGTGTGTAACTAGGCAAGCCCAAGTCCTTTCCAGAAATCTTTTGCGTGACCTTCATTTCTCCCAAACATCTAGGCGGTCGGATGCTTTCTCCGGATCGTCTCCATGGTCTGGGGTGCTGTCAAGGCATCAGTAACCACAGAGCAGCCAATGGGGGAAACCATCTGGTTTGAAACCCTGTAAAGCTGGGACAAGGTCGACGAAAGGTGGCACATGCCCACCTGAAGTCTTGTGAAGGGGGGGTCCACGGATCGGGCTACTGGCTCGCTAGTGGGCGATATGCGCGCTCTTGCGCTTGAGAGCAAAAATGAACCTGGACAAAAGGCACCATGGTATTTTCGAAACACTGTCTGTCCATCAAACTTCCTCCCCTTCCCCTCCCCCAGATGACTTTGAGGGGACATTTTGGCTGTGAGCAAAATGGATTCGGCCACACTAGTTCAGCTAAAGGTCGCGTGCCCTGACCAAGCAAGGTTTCTCTCCCCCCTGGCCCTGTGAGCCCATGTATGTATGAGTGCCGATGTGTCCGAACCGACCCCAGACGATTGTCGACATGTGGAAATCTCGGTCATCCCCTGATTGCCATGTCTTGCGCAACACCACGCTCCACCCAGACCGCCACATTATCAACCTGGCAGGCCTGGTGGGCGACCCGTACTCCATACTAGTTGCTCCCGAGCCTCTGGCTCGTACACCCCCCTCTTGCTTGTTGTTGTCATCCGAAATGAAATGTCCCGGTGGTGATGAACTCATGAGTCTCTCTCGCTTACAATGAGCCGGC